ACTTTTTTTACTATCAAACCCGTTTGATTAATGATAAAGCTTTGATTGCCAAAACCCTACATTTCATTTTAAGGTTTAATGCTTCCATCTTTAAGCTTTTCATCTGTTTCATCATCATGTCGTTGCTGTTTTTTCTCAAGAGTTGAAGAGTTGAATTTTCGCATCTTGATAAGCTGGAGGCTGGCGACATCGCAGTTCCAATCTCTAGAAAAATGATTACATAAAACCGTTTAAGAACAAAAATAAGTGATGTTTGGATCAAAGTGATTGGGCCGATCAATTCGAAGCTACGAGGTCTAGGTTTAAAAGCTCGGTCAATATGTAGAATATCTCCGTCGCTGATCATGTGTTTTACAAAAAAAAAGGTGGGGTATTTGAACATAATATTTGCCTAGGGGGGGAAGGGGCAGGAATTTAACAAACCAAAGGAAAGGAAACTCCAGGACAATTTTTTAACGCGACTTACAATCTATTTAATCTCAACAATTGGTGAATCAAATGGATTGAACGAAACGGTTAAAACTGCAAAGAAAATAGCGAAAGAAAACCTATCACAATATAAATGAAGCAAAATACCCCTAAAACTAAATACTCTCAGCAAAACTACGACGAAAATAACGATGAAAACTACATAGTACAAAACTTACATTTGTTTTGATACTGACGAGTGACTACCTAACGGCGAAAAAGCTGCACGTCGTGCGATACGATGAAATACAATAGTTCACAGAACTTACTGTAAAACTGAACAAACTACGATGAACAATACGGTTTTAAATACATGCTATGTTAAGTCTCGTTACGAAATGACACAAAGCATAGCACACCCAAAATTTCCACTGCAATTAGTGCTGTTTGTAAAAGAACAATAAACAATAGAAAAAGAACAAGGCGTTTGCGATCTACAATCTTTTGAAGACCCTTTGGTTGGGATATTTATAACCTGTGATCATCTATTTCTTGAGTTGTTTCCAAAGGTACAAAGCGGTAAAAGACAGCAGGATGCAACCCATGGCTGAGGGTTACTCCCTTAGCCATAGCTGAGGGAGATGAAAAAACACTTCCCCGTTTTTCCTCTTGTGAAATAAAATTACGGGAAAATTCTTCAAAGAGGGTCCTAATAGGCTGATGGCTTTTACGGTTAACGGTCGAAATTTTGGCCATTTCACGGGTAACAGTTATT